AGTAGCAGGCGGGCTTGGTGTTGATGGTAGGGGCGGCTTATACAATTTAAAGATATTTAAAGGTTCATAGTTAATGTAGAAGGTTATCTTTTTTCGCTATCACCCGCCTTGAGATAGAAGGCACCCTCTCATTCCCCCCATTACAATAATGGATAACTATGTGAAAAAAAAAAAAAAAAAAAAAAAGAGAAGGCTCCGCGGCTGCAATGACAGTGCAAGGACCTTTTATGTTTAGGATCCACGGCTGCAAACGCAGTGCAAGGACCTATTTATTCTTTGCTGCATTTCAGCAACAGACTAAGCGTATTACATATTGGTTTATTCCTTTATCGATTCTCTTGATAGCTATCGCCTGTTTGCTTCCTCATAACCGAAATGTATTGTAATGTTAGTTTAGTAGATTGTATATAAATGTACGACTAGAGCGTTTAGAGATAGCGAGCCCCTTTCCCATATGTTATTTCATATATAGTTTAATAAAGTCTCTGATCGAGCAATAATAATTGAGATAAAACTAATCCCAAATAAATTTCTTTCTCTATAAAAAAATTTTTAACTCATATTCAGACTTTACTCAGATTATATTTTTAAGAGATAAGCATTTGTTGTAACAAAAATCTATTCAAACCTTTTAAAATTTGCCGAATATTTTTGAAATTTTCTTAATTTCCTGATTATAATTTTTATAAGCAAAAAACTATAATCAGTAAATTACGTAGCGACCTGAGTAAACTTTGATTATATGTGAAGTTAGCTTTTTTTAAAGCAATACATATTGCACAACTTCATTATCATAAACTAATTATTTGAAACTACATATTTTATAAATTTGATATTGATTAAGCTGTTAAAAAGTTTTATCAGAAGCATTTTTTTATTTTTACTATGTAAAAATCCAATCTACCACGTAGATCATATGAAAAATGATCTACATTCACCCTACACTTAAAAAAGGATTATAATAACTCATATAAAAGGAAAGAAATTATAACTGTACAGTACTGTTATGCCTGAAACTACCTCTTATAAGCTCAGTATAACGGATTTACTTTAGCAATGTCTATGTTATTAATTACTACTACTAACGGTTATGCTTAAGTAATTTAGGTTTTAGTGCTATTTCGCTTTAAGAGGATTCAAGTGATTTGCACTTACGAAAGAGGCAAACGGCTAAATATATATGAAGATATAAGTAGTCGTATTAGGGTATACAATGAGTCTAAATATATCTATCGCAAACTCTCTTTACGATAGTCACGTGTTAAAGATCGTTAACTCTCTTAACGATTAACTTGGGTTTTAATTGTGTATGAAGACACAATCGAGTTTATATCATGTATGAAGACACGATAGGATTTTATCTTGTGTATGAAGACACAAGTATTTTATTAATAAAGATGAGTTGTTAACTATAAGTTGTGAACTATTGCTTCCAAAGGTAAAAGTGCGATTATTTATACATGTCGTTCGTTCTAATATTATATCTATCGGTTATACTAGATTTATTCTATGGGATAATTAAATGCATAATCTAATATAACTAATACATGTAATAAAACTAATAATAATGAAATAAATAATAGTATTGATAGAATTGATAGAAAGAGTAGAATAGATAGATTGGATAGAAAGGGTAGAATTAGTAGAATGGATAGAATTGATAGAATCGGTAGAATCGGTAGAATTCTTGGCGCTTGTAACACATCACGAACTACGTATGGCATAATTCACGTGATATTGAAGACGGTAGTGATTGACAAGTTTTAGGTCTAACAGTACCACCCGGACATGTTATAAATTTGAAGATTTTTTATCGCATATTGATTACAGTATCCGTATTTTGTGGTGCCAAATAATATTCCACTAAATAAATTAAACAGATCCTAACTTATTTATCAGTGTAACGTGGGATCGATCAATCAAGTACAAAAGCATTTAGCCACAAAATACAAAGATTATGTTGTAGCAATGATTTGCAGCAAATTGACTGAAAAAGGAGATAATAGGCCTTAACGTTAATTTAAGCTTATTAAATTGAATCTAACCCCTCGATGGCATACTTAAAGTTGATTGTTAGAACGTCGATGCGTGTCTAGGAACATAATAGTAAGTAATAATATTAAATATATATATATACGTAATAAGTGATATTATTAATCATTATTATTATGTATTCTCATACATTATTTAGGCATTAAATACATACGTACATCAGATATATAGTCAGGATGTCAAGTAAAAAAGGTTGGAAAATTTTATATAATTTATTTGTAAACCAACCAAGAAGATTTGACTTTTTTTTAAATCACATTTTTAACGATTTTAATCTATCATTTACATATTAATAATTCACAAGATTCTCTTAATGAAATTGTCAAACAACTATGTAATATTTATAACGAAGAAAGAGCACGAGGCAACAAAATAGAATCAATTCTCGATACAATGGACCAATATTTAATAAAACATCAGCAAAAACCGAATGATATTATCAACTATTGCCTTAATGATAATGATAATTCTACTATTCAAATGATTCTTGCAGGTTGCTATAGTTTTGGTAAATGGATTGATCAAGATGAATATAAGGCATTTATTTGTTGTCAAAAATCTGCAGAGATGGGGCATGTTGTTGGAACATATGACCTTGGGTGTTGCTATTATTGTGGAATTGGTGTCAAAAATGACGAACATATGGCACTCATTTGCTTTCAAAAAGCCGCAGAGTTGGGAAACTCTGATGCAATGCGTACTATTGGTCTTTTTTATAATAATGGTATTGGTGTTAAGAAAGATGAATATAAGGCATTTAATTACTATCAGAAATCTGCTGACATGGGGAATGCTGAAGGAACAGAAGATGTTGGATATTGTTATCAAAATGGAATTGGTGTTGAAAAAGATAAAAATAAAGCATTTATTTATTTTCAAAAATCCGCTGACATGGGAAACGCCAATGGAATGAACACCCTAGGATTTTGTTATCAAAATGGAATTGGTGTTGAAATGGATAATCGTAAAGCATTTATTTGTTATCAGAAATCTGCGGATATGGGACATGATAAAGGAATCTATAATCTTGGATGTTGTTATCATAATGGTATTGGTGTTGAAAAAGATGAATACAAGGCATTTCATTATTATCAAGAGTCCGCTAAAATGGGATTTGTTGATGGAATGATTCAAGTTGGTAACTGTTATCGAAATGGAATTGGTGTTGCCAAAGATTTACAAAAGGCATTAATTTATTATCAAAATTATTTTGAATTTAATAAGGCTCTTGGAATGAATATAATTGAGTTTTGTTACCGAAATAGAATTGAAAAAGATGAACATAAGGCATTTATTGATTACCAAAGATTAGATGGAGTAGGTGATGCTCTTGGAACGTTTATGGTTGGTTATTGTTATGAAAATGGTGCAGGAGTTAAAAGAGATGAATATAAAGCATTTATTTATTATCAAAAATCTGCAGAGATGGCAAATCCTGACGGAATTTTTAAAGTTGGTTATTGTTATGATTATGGGATTGGAGTTGAAAAAGACAAATCTAAAGCATTTATTTATTATCGAAAATCTGTTGAATACGAACACGTTGATGGGATGTACAAACTTGCGTGTTGCTATCATGAAGGAAATGGTGTTGAAAAAAATGAACATGAAGCTTTTATATATTATCAGAAATCGGCTAATATGGGTTATAGCGAAGGAATATTTGCTGTTGGTCTTTGTTATCATAATGGTGTTGGGGTCAAAGAGGACGAGTATAAGGCATTCATTTATTATCAAAAATCTGCAGAAATAGGAAATCCTAATGGAATTTATCAAGTTGGCTATTGTTATCAATATGGTATTGGAGTTGAAAAGGATGAAAATAAAGCATTTATTCATTACCAAAAATCTGCTAAGATGGAGGATGCTCGCGGAATGTATCGAGTTGGTTATTGTTATCAATATGGAATTGGAGTTGAGAAAGATAAAGATAGGTCATTTAGCTATTATAAAAAATCTGCTGATATGGGTAATTGTCTCGGAATTTTTGGTCTTGGAGAATGCTATTTAGATGGAATTGGAGTTGAAAAGGATGAATATAAGGCATTTATGCATTATCAAAAATCTGCTGAAATGGGAAGTCCCGAAGGAATTCATCAAGTTGGTTATTGTTACCAAAATGGCATCGGAGTTGAAAAAGATGAATATAAAGCATTTATTCATTATCAAAAATCTGCTGAGATTGGAATTTTGACCGGAATTCTTCAAGTCGGTTATTGTTATCATAACGGAATTGGAGTTGCAAAAGATGAGCATAAAGCATTCATTTATTATCAAAAGTCTGCTGATATGGGTCATATGGATGGAATATATAATGTTGGCTTTTGTTATTACAATGGTATTGGAGTTGAGGAGGATAATCAAAAAGCATTTATTTATTATCTAAAATCTGCTAATATGGGACACGTTGCCGGAATGTATCAAGTTGGTGAATGTTATCGAAATGGGATTGGAATAACAAGAAATATACAAGAAGCACATTATTGGTATCAAAAGTAAATATATCTATTTATTTTTTTTTTTTTATACGTATAAAATTTTTAATGATAATGATAACATTCAAACTATAAATTAGGGAAAAAACTTTAACATCAGGTAAATTTATTATTTGAAATCAATCTAATGCATATTATCTATCAGAGCTTTTATACATTTATACAGGATGCAATTAAATAAGTTTGACAGTAGAAATTATTGACCCGTCAATACACGTTTTACACTATTAATTTAAATTTAAAATTAACAAAAACTTGTATTAATTAATTAGTAACAGATAATTGGCTGCATAAAGACTCTGACATTGATGATGATTTGAAGAAATTATTAGTTGAAAATAAATATCAATTGACATGGATCCCTTATAATGATTTTAAGGATGTTAAAATGATCGGAGAAGGCGGATTTGCAACAGTGTATTCTGCTATATGGACTAGATGGCTTGATAAAAATCGACAAATTAGTAGAACTGTTGCGCTTAAATTAATCCATGGATCAAAAAATTGTAGTGGTGAATTCATAAATGAGGTAATTTTTTCAAAATTTTTTATTCAACCCGAATGAATAATGATTTATTAATTATCTGAATTTATTTCTTTTTATAATTAGTTAAAGGCATATTGTGATATAGGTCTTAAAGATCCTACTTTTTTAAAATGCTTTGGTATATCAAGAGATGTTTCTTCTAAAGATTATCTCTTTGTTATTGAATATACCTCTATGGACTCTTTACGTAAAAATCTTTATAGTGTCTCACAAATGAAATGGAAAGATAAATTAAATCTGTTAAATTGCATTGTTAATGATCTTCATATAATTCATTCACATAACCTTATTCATCGAGACTTACATAGTGGGAATATACTGCTAAATAACCTTCATAGTGCATATATTGCAGATTTGGGGCTTTCAGCATTAGCTAATTTAGGATCATACAATGAAGTATGTGGCATAATTCCATACATAGCACCTGAAGTATTGTACAGTAGAGCATATAGTGCAGCATCTGATATATATTCTTTTGGCATCGTTGCATATGAAATAATGTCAGGACTTCTGGCATATCATAATATGCCACATGATTTAAGTCTTATGAAGAACGTCTATGATGGTTTAAGACCAAAAATTCCAACAAATGTACCAAAGCCAATTGCTGAGTTGATTATTATGTGCTGGGATGCTAAGCCGGAAAATAGGCCATCTTCTAAGAAATTATTTGAGATTATAAGCGAATGGAATGAGGAAGTTTTAAAACAAAGCCCTACGGAATTTAATGCGCAAATTAAAAAGGCTGACGAAGACCTTGAAATGTTTTTGACATCATCTCCATCTCATGTAGATATACATTCTGAAGCAATCTATTCCAGAAGACGGTTCACTCCTTTAAGTGTTACGAGTTCTTGTAAAACTGTTAACTGCCAAGGTGACTATCGTGACCATTGTGTTGGTTATATACATTGTTTTAATTTGTCCTAGCAGTTTTTATAATAATTATATCGTTCCAAATAAAGATACTCAAAAAAGGGAGGATGGAGCTTATGTCGAAAAAGATGATCGAAAGGCGTTATCTCACATCAAAATACAGTCTGATGCAATATTTACTAGAAGACAATCCGTTCATTTAAATATGACTGATTCTGATAAAAGGATTAATCGATCAGGTAACCGTTTCATTACAATTGGTCATATGTAATCTTTAAATTTTACTTTGTAATAATTCTAAGAATTACAATATCACTAATTAAAGATATCCAAATTGAAGAGGAAAATACTAAAAGCTTACTCAATCTACAAGATGTAATTGATATTGAACAAGATAATCAAAAGACATCGATTCGTGTTGAAACACATTCCAAAACAATATTTACTAAAAGAAGACTAGTTTTTCTAAAAATCAAAAACTCTGGTGAAAAACTTAATCATTCAGGTAATAATAATATTTTTTAGTGATAGTGAAATTGTCATAACTGTTTATTATAATGCTTAATACCAGTAATATTTTGCATTACAGATAATCAAGATGAAGAAAAAAGCAGCGAAAGCTTACTCATTTCACATGCAATTGACGTTGAAAAAGATGAATGTAAAACATACACCCATTCTCAAAAATCTATTGAAATAGAAAATGCTGTTGGGATATTTAATCTTGGTAATTGTTATCTTATTGGGAATGGAGTCGATAAAAATGAACGTAAAGCATTTGCTTATTATCAAAAATCTTCTGAGATGGGAAGTTCTGATGGAATGTATATGATGGGCTATTGTTTTGAAAATGGAATTGGTATTGAAAAGGACGAATCTAAGGCATTTATTTATTACCAACAATCTGCTAATTTGAAAAATCCAGATGGAATTTGTCAAGTTGGAATTTGTTATGAAAATGGGATTGGAGTCAAAAAAGACGAATATCAAGCATTTATTCATTATCAAAACTCTGCTGAGTTAGGGCATGCAGATGGTTTATATAATCTTGGATATTGTTATTATAAAGGAATTGGAGTCGAAAAGGATGAATATAAAGCATTTATAAATTATCAAAAATCTGCTGAGATGGGGCATGATGGTGGAATATTTTTTCTTGGTAGTTGTTATTATGAGGGGATTGGTGTTGAAAAAGATGAAAAGAAAGCAATTATTTATCATCAAAAGTCCGCTGATATGGGTAATGCTGATGGAATGCTTATCCTTGGTTTTCATTATCAAAATGGAAGTGGAGTAGAAATAGATGAATATAAAGCACTCATTTACTATCAAAAATCTGTTGAGATGGGAAATTCTCTCGGAAATTGTATGCTTGGATGTTATTATGAAGATGGAATTGGTGTCGAAAAAGATGAACATATGGCGTTTATTTATTATCAAAAATCTGCAGAAATGGGTGAAGCATATGGAATGTTTATGGTTGGTAGATGTTATGAAAATGGAATAGGTGTTGAAAAAGATGAACATAAGGCGTTGATTTATTATCATGAATCTGGATTACGGCAATATAATGGCGGAATTGAAATTACAATGGATGAACATGGATCAACAATTTATATTGAAAAGTCTGGTGAAATGGTTTGTGCTAATGAAGCATATAATGTTGGTTATTTTTATCAAAATGGAATTGGAATCGAAAAGAATGAACACAAGGCATTTATAAATTATAAAAAATCTGCTGAATTGGGTGATTCTAACGGAATATTTGCACTTGGTAATTGCTATTATAACGGAATTGGTGTTGAAAAGAATGAAAATAAAGCATTTATCCAATATCAAAAATCTGCACAA